AATTTCAAAATGAACTTAAGTAACTAAACTGTTATAAACCTACTTTTTAGCACAACTAAGTATGTTACGCTGGAGTAAGTTAAAATAACATAAAAATAAATAGTCATACTTGTCTTAGTTTTATAGTTTAATTCCTAAAATAAGACGTTTAAGAGCAAACGATGTTTTGCATCTCGTTATAGACAAAGACATATCGATTGCATTTTTTGCTGGTTATTCAAATTTTATTCAGAAAAATTAGTCATGACTAATGAGTTTATTCATCAATCATTATTCAAACATTTTTATACATTTGCATAATGAATGATGAATAATGACTAAATTTTCATATGAATAATCATTCAGAATAAATTTATTCTGAATAAATTTAGTCATGAATAAAATTTTCGTGAATGATGCCCATCACTGTATATATATACCTGGACACCGAAGGGACGAAGGAAAGTACTTTAACACGTTCACGCCGGGAAAAGTGAAAATACTGGTACGGAAAAAGAGAAAATACTGGTGGAAGAACTATTTCAATATTGGATAATGTTCGGGAGGAGTTAATCTATTCTCAACATTAACAATTCACTGTAAGGAAATTTATCATGGCGAAGAAGCAATTCAATATAAAAATTACATCCGTTAAAATCAATTGGTCGTCATGGATTTTTATTATTCCCGGAAAAAAACTAAAAAATGAAATTTATTTGTTACCAGTTTTTACTCCGGTGCCCTACCACGATGAGACAATCTAGCGTGACCCACCGGTGGGTCACCCCGGCGTGAACGTGTTAAAGGTGGCCTAGGGCCCTCACATTTCTAGATAAGGTCCTGACTACGATTCCCTGAAAGATGTACAAACGGGGTCTTAATAAAGATTTAAGAAATTTAATTTTTCCTCTGCAGCTGGTGATCAAAAGGCTGGAGCATTAAAAAAAGTTGGAATAAGCATTGAAAATGTGCACGCTGTGTATTCTAAGAAAGGCTCCAAAGAATGGAAAGCACTATCAGGACTAAATATAGAACTGTACGAGGATCACATCACAGCTCTACTCGGACACAACGGAGCTGGAAAAACAACTACCATGTAAGATAAACTCATTTATTCTATACATTACGAAAAAGGTATACATTTGCTCTAAAATTCTCCAATATTTTCTTTTGCCAATTACACGGGGGAAAAACTTCGTGTTGCATTTATGCAAATACTTGACATAGACCACCAACGCCTCCTGTAACTGAAAGTCTCCGCACGGTCTCTTAGACGTAGTCCGATCAGACCATTAGGAAGGTAAACCAGTTTACAAAAGAGCCATTTTGTAGAAAATCTAGTAAAATTAAGAAAGTGGTAGAAAATATATCTTTAAAAATTTGTTTATTTTATGAATATGATTGGTTTGTCTTATTTACTTGTCAACCACCAAAAATTCAACTCTCAAATATATATGATAAATTTCTCCCAATTACTTTGAAAACAGAATTTGGGCTCATGTGCTCAGCTGGTTCACTTTTTGAATAGTCTGCGCAGACTACTTATAAAAAACCGTGTGGAGGCTTTCTGTTGTAGGAAGTGATGTTTTGGCTGCCAAGCAATTTTACGCCCCTAAACTCTCCTTGAGGAATACCTTCCCTTTGACGCAGAGCGACTCTACTCGAACAAGATCACCGAGATTGCTGCCTGTGTACTTTCAGCCCTTGGGTATATTTGATCTTCCGTGAACACAACACCACCATTCCCACCACTTGATATAACAGAATTCAAGGGTGCGGATTTCAAATCTAAAATTAATTTTGCTCCTTAAGCTAAAGATTTTTTTAAGACATGTTTAGTTATTTTTTTTCAAACTTTGGAAGATTAAAAACCTTACATATAGGTATAACAAGGGTTAGCGCAAAAGTTGAGAAAAACTTCTGGGGAAGTTAGTGCGTTGAGACCCGTGCCCGAAAATATCATGACAAGGGATGCATCCCTAATATGATATGTTCAGTTTTCAAATAGTATTTTAAAGTGCATTGAGTGCAAAGGATTAACTCACAACCTCTCCATAGTGCGTAAATTTGAATTTCACCCTGATTTGCCCCTCTCGGTCACTGTGGTTCTTTTTGTTAATTTTTTCATTTTTTTTCGCTCTCTTTCGGCTACTCTGGTTTTTTCTAGTTTTGTTTTAAACCTTTATTTTTCCATTTTTTGCTAGCAATTTTTCGTTTTATATTTTAAATCACTTTTTTTTTCTCCTTCATTTCTAACAAGTCTTCAAAATGAGTGCCTGTCTTTGAGCGCTTGAAACATGCCGACTTTTAATTCTAATTTGTATATTTTTGAAGAGAATGAACTTTTCAAGCAGTAATATCGTACCATTTCAGTTTCTTTGGATTTCTTTTTATATTTAATTTAATATTTATTATATTATAGCGTTGAAGATTTTAAAATAACCCATTATAATTTTTTGTTTTTTATTTTAGAAAATTACTCACCGGAAGAATTCCACCTACGTCTGGAAATATCAAGTTATACGATTTGGACATACCCCAACAACTACCTCTGGCTAGAAAGATGATAGGATTTTGCCCACAGAACAACACTCTCTATGACAAGTAACGTTTACATTTATTTTGAATATTTTTATTCCTCACCTCTGGCGGCAAAGATGATAAGGTTTTGCCCACAGAGTAAAACACTCTCTATGATAAGTGAAGTTTACATTTATTTTGAATTGTTTTATTCCTTACCTCAGGTTAGAACGATTATAGGGTTTTGCCCACAGAACAACACCCTCTATGACAAGTAAAGTTTAGATTTATTATGAATATATTTTATTCCTCATTTCTGGCTACAAAGATTGCAGGGTTTTGCCCACAAAACAACACTCTCTATGTTAAGTAAAGTTTACATTTATTTTGAATTGTTTTATTCGTCACCTCTGGCTACAAATATGATTGGGTTTTGCCCTCAGAACAACACTCTTTATGACAAGCAAAGTTTACATTAATATTGAATATCTTTTTCTTCACCTCTGGCTACAAAGATTGCAGGGCTTTGGCCACAGAATAACACTCTCTATGTTAAGCAAAGTTTACATTTATTTTGAATTGTTTCATTCGTCCCCTCTGGCTACAAAGATTACAGGGTTTTGCCCACAGAACAACACTCTCTATGTTAAGTAAAGTTTACATTAATTTTGAATTGTTTTATTCGTCACCTCTGGCTACAAAGATGATTGGGTTTTGCCTCAGAACAACACTCTTTATGACAAGCAAAGTTTACATTTATTTTGAATTGTTTCATTCGTTACCTCTGGCTACAAAGATGATTGGGTTTTGCCTCAGAACAACACTCTTCATGACAAGCAAAGTTTACATTAATATTGAATTTTTTCCCTCACCTCTGGCTACAAAGATTACAGGGTTTTGCCCACAGAACAACACTCTCTATGTTAGGTAAAGTTTACATTTATTTTGAATTGTTTCATTCGTCACCTCTGGCTACAAAGATGATTGGGGTTTGCCCTCAGAACAACACTCTTTATGACAAGCAAAGTTTACATTAATGCTCATTTTTATTCTTCACCTCTGGCTACAAAGATTACGGGGTTTTGCCCACAGAACAACACTCTCTATGTTAAGTAAAGTTTACATTTATTTTGAATTGTTTCATTCATCACCTCTGGCTACAAAGATGATTGGGGTTTTCCCTCAGAACAACTCTCTTTATGACAAGCAAAGTTTACATTAATATTGAATTTTTTCCCCTCACCTCTGGCTACAAAGATTACAGGGTTTTGCCCACAGAACAACACTCTTTATCTCAAGCAAAGTTTACATTAATATTGAATTTTTTTCCCTCACCTCTGGCTACAAAGATTACAGGGTTTTGCCCACAGAACAACACTCTCTATGTTAGGTAAAGTTTACATTTATTTTGAATTGTTTCATTCGTCACCTCTGGCTACAAAGATGATTGGGCTTTGCCCTCAGAACAACACTCTCTATGACAAGTAAAGTTAACATTAATTTTGAAGTTTTTGTTCCTCATCTCTGGCTCGAAATATGACAGGGTTTTGCCCACAAAACGAAACACTCTCTCTATGACAAATAAAGTTTGCATTCATTTTGATTTTTTTCTTCCTCACCGAAAAAAGATTGTTTTTAGCAATCCCGTTATTTTATTTACCCCTGTCGTACTTAAATAATGTTCCGATATATTTAATTCACATTTACTTAAAAGATACATTATTTTTAAACTATTAATAATAAGCATCTACGTTTAATTTATATAAAGCCTTGCCAATTTCTATCTTTAAAATTATTCTATTTTTAATCATCTCAACTTAGTGATTACCCGTTGTAACCTAAGTTTTCCATTTTTGGCTAATAATTGTATTTCAAATTCAATAACATAATTTTTAATTACCTCACACGCCATTGCCACTAAATTTCACAACGTCGTTTGAAAGTATTGCATTTAGCTAATTTTTAAGGTTAAGGAAAACTTCTGCACTATAAATATAGGTAAATTGCTTACAAACCGATACGAGAATTTTCGCTTGTTAATCATCTTCTCGGTACACATTTAAATTTTTCTTTTTCTATTTTCAGGTTAACTGTCAAAGAGCATTTGTATTTATTTGCACATCTGAAGGGCCTACTAGATGCAGAAAGCATTGAAAAAGACGTCGAAGGGTAATAAGCTGCTACAAATATTATAAAAGATAAACATTTTAACTTATCCAAATAGATTTTTAAAAAATGCATTCTCACAACAGCCTATTGTGGGCCAGGGGTTTCATGTAATTTAAGGATTTGCGATTTCGTGACCAAGGGTATGATGGTGATCACTGACCACCTTTATTTCACAGACACGCCGGAACTCTTTTATCTGAAGCTGAATCTCACCAAAGATAGTACTTAAGTGTTTCATTTTGGCAGATCATTGCATTAACTACTGCGCCATCTCAGCTCTATCCAAAAAGAAATGTAAAATGAAGTTTTAAAAAAAATCACTTTCTCGTACGTAACAGATGCTAAGAAGTTTAAAATAAATCACTTCAACAAACAAAGCCGGCGTTGAAATATAAAGCATCTATATTTTTCATTCTCTCTCCCATTTATTTACTCACTAGCCGCTTAAGGCGGACAGCAAGAAAGTATGAAGTTTTAAAAAAAATCACTTCCTCGTGCGTAACAGATGTTAAGAAGTTTAAAATAAATCACTTCAACAAACAAAGCCGGCGTTGAAATATAAAGCATCTATATCTTTCATTCTCTCTCCCATTTATTTACTCACTAGCCGCTTAAGGCGGACAGCTGTCCGCCATGCTAAAGGTTTTCACAAATAAAGTTTTTTAAAACATAGCAGAAAATCTGAAGATTAGTGGACAATTACAGTGTTCCTGTCCTGCAATTTTGTCTTCATATCCAGATGAACAGCAAAAAATATATCAAAACGAAGCGTTCTATTGAGTATAGTTAAGTGCGGCGAGCTCTCTGCTTATCGCTTATAGCTCTGCGTTTCAATAGGTAAGGCTTAATTTAGGTTGGGGCTGGGTAGATAGCACAAGCACCAAGCGTTCTATTTACGTATCGAATATGTTGCCACATTTTTAATACAAAAGTTACAAAACTATTAAAAAATGCATAAACTTTTCTCCACTTTGATAAACGTAAACTAATGCGAACCTTACAATTAAATTATTAATTCCTTCGTATATTATTGGTTTAAGTTGTCGAAAATTAATATTTCAATTGTAAGGTTCGCATTAGCATACATTTATAAGAGTGGGGAAAAGTATATGCATTTTTTAATAGTTTTTTGAATATGGCTCTTTGAAGACGAAAAAGCATAGATTTTCTTACAAAATGACTGATAACTAAAAAACTAATCCAAATTTTTGAAAAAGAAAAAAAATACTTCTTCATGATGTCAAAACACAATTATGTGCCGAGTTTCGTGCCTGGGCGAGGCTTCTGAGGCGGTATATTGTGATTACAGGCAGACAGACAAACAGACACACACACAGCCGCGTTTATTATTATGTATAGATTTACTCCTCCCCAAGTATAAAATGGCACTTGATTTGAATTTGAATATTATAAAATAAATCATTTTATAGTAAATTTGTGTTTGATTTGAAGTTTTCTCTGGGAAGAAATTTTTATGAATTGCCTATGGCAAAGAATTTTGAAATTTAGCTAATATTATTGATATTTGGCTAATTTACTGGCTAATAATTTGAAGATCTTAGCTTGGGCCTTTGCTTTACCATATTAAAGAATTTGATTCTGGTTTAAGTTAGCATTTAAGGAACAGAAAGTAATGAGTACGTGACACCTCAAAAACTAATCTTCAGCATCTATGAAATGGTCATATACGCTAAACTTAACCTTTAATCTCCCAGACTCTTATTTTACATCTATGAGAAGAGTGCCTTTCGGAAAAATGTAGTAGCAGGTTTGTATACCTGCTACCACACTAAATTATATGGCTTGTCCACGATTACTCTATGACAGGCAGCCCAATACAGTTCAGAAACACAAATAAAATTATTAAAATAATTTGCTGCATTCTCAGCTACAATGTCAGTAAGTCCAAGACAGCAATTCAGATGATCAGTGCTCATGTCAGAATCTGTCACGCAGAATGGCATAAGTCCACCAATCCAATTAAAAATTGTTTTGTTATATTTTTTCCCATAGTGCTCAAACCACTTTTTACCTGTTTGCCTTGCACCTGCTTGTAGACACTTAGGAAAGTTCTAATTTATGAAACAGAAATTACAGAAAGTTTGCATTTCTGTTGCTTCATTTGTGCTCCATTTACGTTGCTTTGTTTTGTTCATACATTGCGCAAAGCATGCCCTGTTCTAATAGAATATATTTATACTCTTCAGCATGGTGAGGAATTTGAATCTGGTTGACAAGCAACATGAATGCAGCGAAAAACTGTCTGGCGGACAACGAAGGAGACTGTGTGTGGGCATAGCCTTTATTGGTGGATCAAAAATAATCATCTTAGACGAACCCACAAGCAGTGTTGATCCTGTGGCGCGTAGAAGCATCTGGGATCTCATATTAAAGTATAAAAAAGGTACTTAGTTCCTGACAAAAAAAAATTTCTCTTATAACTTCATGTAAAACACTTGATTTTTAAACGCATGTTTGTACTTTTTTAATATTTATTTGCAGGAAGAACTATTTTATTCACAACACATCACCTTGATGAAGCGGATATATTAAGTGATAGAGTGGCAATACTACACAAAGTAATTATTTCAGCAAATCTTATTTAGTTTTTTTTTTTTTTTTTTTTTTTTTGAAAAAAATCTAATCAGCCTATTACCGCTCCACAACTCTCTTTTAAATGTTCTTTATCCAAAACAGAATTCGTTTAACCATACCAAGCAGTAAAATTAACTCCAAAGCTAAATTTTCAACTGCAAGTCGTGGTGGCTCAGGGGATAGAGAGAGCACTCGTCTCCCAAGGAGATGACCTGGGTTCAAACCAAGCGATGTCTTGGCGATGCGAATTCCGCACACGGCTCTCACCGACCACAGTGCTGACGTAATATATCCTCAGTGATAGACGGATCATGGATTAGAGTTTCCAGCCAGGCTAACGTGGCAGGTTTTCGTAGTTTTCCGCTCTAAATGCGGGTTAGTTCCATTAAAACGCCCTCCATGGCCAAATTTCTTTCAAAAGCCAAATTTCTCCCAATACTTGATCCAGGAGTTCCCTTCTCTTCTGGATTGGGTTCAAAATTACAACCCTACGGAGTTAAACATTAGTAGTCATAAATCCAAAATATTGGGTCGACTGTTCAACGACGGTTATTAAATAAAATAAAAAACTGTTACAAACGAAACTCTTAATTTTCTCCAATAAATAAGGCATTGTTTGAAGTTTTATTGTTTTAAAATCCTAAACACATTTATTGCGATACTTAGTCATAAAAAATGAAGTTTTTAGAACTGTTACCAATGAACGTCATTAGTCTTTTACATTATTGAAGATTATTTTATTTATCCGTTTAAAATACGAAACCAAATGTAGATTTTTTTTTAATTATTTATTTTACTTTTTTTTTTCTTTAGAGTCGCGACGATTACATTCATTTAAAATTGAAATGCAAATATTCTTAGAAATAAAAATTACACTTCAAAAATTCATCCGATCATTAGATCAAAAATTATTCAGGGCAGACCGTTTTTTTTTTCGCGCACTGTACGTAAATTGTTATATTAGTGTATTTTATAGAAATTCTCTAATATTTTACGAAAATATTTCATAAAAACATTAATTGAATTATAAAAAAAATTAATGATAAAAGCATTGAAAATTTTTCAACATTAAAAATAAATATTTAACATATGTCTATGATAGGGCCGTATGTTGTGCAGTGATTCCCCATTGCAACTGAAAGTTCGTTTTGGAAGCGGTTATCGTCTCAGCCTTTTTCCTGGATCGGAAAAGCTGGAGCGAGATGATCGAGATTCTGGTCGTGCTTCATCTCTCACTGGAACAGAAGATCTCATCAATGGTGAGTTACAAAAGCTGCAAGTAGTTGATCTATGAAATGACAAATAATAGACCGTTAAAATGAAAAATAGACAATTTCAAAGTTATTTTATAAATTAATTGATCATGAATAGCTAAAATATCTCGAAAAATACATTCTATCCCTAATGCGGATGATTAATAATTGATTAATAATAAGGAAAAGCAGATGATATAATTTATTATTGCTCAAACTAATGGCTACGTTTAAAAGCAACGCAATAAAGCGTGCACACATGTTGTTCCGATATCAATGGAGAACTAGTTAAAATAATCGTTTTAAATCGTCTGCCAACTCTTGTGAATATAATAACTGCAACTCTGGCTGGTTGCTAGGCAACCAAACGACTTTTTCTTGTTATTAATATTTTGTTTAACGCCTGTGTATGTCAGTGGAAATAAAAGAATACAGTCGCTGTAAAAGCTAACACACGTCATTGCAAAGCAACTATAAGCTGTTTAAAACTTACTAAATGCAGCTAGAACCGCTTTAAAGAACTTTCCAAAGACGTATTTCATATTTTAATGATCAAGTACTCGTTATTCTATAAAATACCTAGTTAAATCGTAAAATTCATAATTTTATGTACTTTAACTGACCTGTCTAGTTATTTCATGAAATACCTAGTTATTCTATGAAATAACAGATTTCACACTTTAACGGTAAAATGCATATGTTGAAGACCAATTGGAAAATCTGGCTCTTTGCAAATTGCCGTCATCATTTTGCAATATGCCTTCAAAGCACACTTCAATAAACCTGACAAATAACGCCAACAGTTTTGTAAAGCTATAGATTTTCTATTTAGCTAACTACATTACATATGTAATTTTGTACAAGCTTATTGTCTAATTTGTAGTGAAGGAATTAAACGTTTTGCTCTGAAAATAATCTATTTATAGGATAAAAATCATAGGTGCCACTCTTCAGTCATGAGAACTGAAATCATCAGTCTTGAGAAAAGATCAGTGGACTGATTTTTCGTCCTCCAATAAATATTTATTGTAAATGAGTTTTTTTTAAAATTTAGTCTTTATTTACAAACACACTTTTCCTTTTTATTTAAAAAAATTTAACAATTATTTAATGTTAAAATAAATAAAAACAAATTTATGAAGAAAAAAAAATACTTTTTTTTTTCAAAATTTTTGCAAAATGATCAAGCAATGATGTTACTCCACAATGAAAGTTTGCGATTGACTGAATTTTAACATCTACTTGTTCAAACAAATTAATTGATGAATTACTGTTAAATTTGAATCTGCTTGAGTTCGTATTTTTTTCCTTATCTCTTTAAAATACTAGGCAAAATTACATTAGGTTTATTTTTCAAAATATCAAATTTATAGATCTAGGGCAAAATATTACTACCACAATTACTTAGTTTTCGTAACTACTATTATGAAAATTGAACTCAGTGGTACGACAGCCCATAGAGGGCCAAAGCCTACTGTGCTCATCTCAGTTTCCTTGACCTCGAACCCAGGACTTGTGGCACGAGAATGTGAAGCACTACCACTCGGCCACCGGGTTTCTATTTATGAGGAGGAAGTATAAAATAAGTAGAAATATGAATGGTTAGTGGTGTAATTAAGCAATTGATATAAAAAGCAAACTTTTTTCTGTTGCAAAAAACTAAATTGATAAAATGAAGAAAAAAATATACATTTTTTAGAAAAAATAATCAACTATTGGTATATAAGATTTGAGCCATTCCCATGGAAAGTGAGCTATAAATTTCGAAAAATTTCTTCTAAACAGCGCTGTGTTAATTGGTCAAAAAAAAGTTTAATCTTGAAAAAAAAATTTAGTGGCTCGCATGTAAAAATGCATCTACAAATATTTTTTCCCCAATGCAAACCCGATCAACACTCGCCATTCAAGTATCAGTAGGGCAGATTTGTTAATCACTCTTTCAAGAGCATATTAGGTGGGGCAACGGGGCTCCCACAATAAGGAGAGATAGTAGAGCGAATGAAAGAACATACATGCCTTGTCCGGGATTCAAACCCAGGACCTTTCTCATGTAAGGTCAGCTCCTTGATCACTACACACTGCGTCTGGAGACAAGTCTACCAGAATTCATTTTATATCAAGTGGGAGCAAAATATCACCTATGTGTTTTACTTATTATTTATGTATATGTATTTTACTTAATAATATAAATTTTTTATTTGTTTGAAATTACCTGAGGTTAATATTATAACATATTCAGTGGACAGCGATGGTATAATGGAATTCATCCAAGGTTATGTCCCTGATGCAACACTTCTGGAGAATGATGATAGTCATTTAGTAGTGAGCCTGCCCGCTGAGCCTTTGACCACCAAACCCCTTTCAGAATTCTTTGCCCACCTTCAGAAATGTCTTCATTTGTGGGGATTCAACAGTTGCTCCTTGTCCAGTGCTACACTCGAAGAAGTAGGTGTCATCAAATTTCATACATCTTTTAATACATTCCATTTCCATTTTTATTCTAATTTATCTTTTACTGCAGGTGTTCCTGACGTTATGTCGTTTGGAAGATGCTAAAGTTGCTCACAGTTCTGATAAATATCATGATACATCACCCTTTCGTGTACAGAAAGCGAGTGAATCGATTTTCTTCAAAGGCAATGAAAATAATAATCCCAAAAACAAACGTGAGTTTTCGTTCAGTTTTTATAAAATCTTTTTAATTGTTAAGGTAATATTAGGGTTGTAATTTGTCCGGGAACGAGAAAATAATGATTATAAACCCCTTTCCTTACTAGCTTGTTTCGGGAAGAAATAATATATTCGTGACTACTACCATCACCTCCTATATCAGAGAGCCCCCACACGATTTTTTATAAGTAGTCCTCTCAGACTATTCAAAAAGTGAACCGGTTGTGCGCATGAACCCAAGTTCTATTTTAAAAGTAATTGAGAGAAATTTATCATGTATATTTGAGAGTTGTATCGGTAGTGGTATACAAGTAAGAAGAGAAATCAATCGTATTCATAAATTAAGCAAATTTTTACAGATATATTTGCTACCACTTTCTTATTTTCATTTGATTTTGCATTAAAGGGCCTTTTCGTAAGCTGGTTTACCTTGATAGTGGTCTGATCGGACTTCCTACAAAAAACCGTGTGGAGGCTTTCAGTTGTAGGAGGCGTTGCTACTAGTCATTAATAGCAGCAAACTCATGTGTTCGAGTATAATAGGTTATAACCAAGAAAAAGCATGGTAAAGACCTATTTGAAAATTAGCAGAAAAAGTTTTACTTGGTAAGAAAGCCCTGAAAAGATTTCATGAAAATCTTAAAACGACGATGTCATCTCGACTTAACGCACAATTCCTTTATTTTATTTTGTATGAAGGGTTGAACAGCTGACCCATTTTTTAGTTTGTGACTAACAATTTTCAACTACGTAGCCTCTTATTCTTGATTGAAAATATTGATAATACAGGGGGACACATTTTTTGTTGCATTTATGCAAATGTATGAACTTACCTGATTCGGTAGTGGGGATATCAATTCTGAAGCTAGTTTTGGTCAGAAAGCTATAAATTTTCTTAGGAATGATATTTTTAGTTTAGTATATTCTTCATCTGAATCTAGAAGTTTATAAAGAACGTATATGTTTATATGCATGTAATACATAAGACAAAAAACATATGACCTTAACACATGGCATAATAAACTGAAATATATTTTCATCTTCTTCCTACCACTCCTTATGTAGCAGAGAAGGGGGGACACTTAGTATTCACTCGAATAAATTTTAAAAAATCCTGCATAGGACTATATCATTGAATCGCATAAAAACTGTAGCTTGTATAGAGAAACCGATTTCAGATTGAAATCAGCGTGGCGAAAACAAAGATTAGTTCGAAAATCTCATATAACAGAACACAAAATATAATCTGTTTCCCAGTACTGTAACACGACGTATTATCTTTGATCCGATGCTTATTTTTCGAGATATCTGACCAGTTTCATAATTTTCAAACATTCATGCAACCGGCAGTACATTTACAGGTACTTTAGTTCTGTAACAGTGAGCTGGAGAAAAAAGAATAAGTATGAAAAATCTTTATTCGAATTCTACAAGATAAAAGCTAATAACAAAACACTTAAGTAACCCAATTTTTTTTTTAAAAAAAACCATCTTTATAATAATAAAAATTTCACGTGTGGGTGAAGAACAAAGTGGTAGATAATAAATAAAACTCAGCTTTTACGCAATTAACCTTTAAAAACTATTAGAACCAGTAACTCAATAGTTAAACGTAACTAGTAACTCGGTTTTTTTTTTTCTTGATATTTATCTTAAAAGCGTAACATGCGTGTTTAATTTGACATAAATCATGCCGTTGATATTAAATTACACTTAAATCGCAAGATGACCACTACTAAGTATAAATACCCTACTACTTTTTCCATAAAAGTAATTTTTACATGACAACAAAATTTTGCGTTTTCGCAACAGTTATTCTGAATAAGTTACTGACACGTTACATTACCTGAAGTAATTATTATTTTTTCATTTACAGCCGTTGCGATTGAAATGACTGATTCAAACTACACAGAAAGTTCTTATTTCTGTTTAAAATACAACCAGATGTGGGCTCTTCTCAGGAAACGCTATTGGCACACTAAAAAGAATTGGAAAGCTCTCTTATCCAGCATCGTGATGCCTTGTGTCTTTATTGCCTTGGCCATGGGATTAGCTGTAGGCAGACCTCAAAAGCCTCCGGATCCTTCCATTCAGCTTAATCCTGAACTTTATTCCACTAAAGATCATAAGACCGTGTCATTTTACTCGTAAGTATTTATTAAGGAATACGATTTGTTTATTTTTTATTATCCAATAGTGGCCAGTCACGAAAAGTGGCACATTTATGAAAATACCTAAATTGCTAGTTCATCTTTCTTTCCTTGCCTACCCTTTAATGGGCCATTTATTTATAGTGAAGGTAAATTAAAGTATTTTTGGAATTGAAATTGATATAAGAATAGTAATTGATGTAAGAAAAAAAACTCATTTAGTTAATAAAAAAATCTAAATTTCGATGCCATTTTTTTTGTTGGTAAGAATATTTACCACGACCTATTCGGAACTTGTTGACTTTTATTTTTCGTTATTACCACTTGGTTATTATTACTTAAAAGAAGCGGTGTCTGTAGCATCCTACAATAAATTTTATATTTTTATACGCGTTGGTAAACTTTTTTAAAATCAAGCTCTGACAATAAGCAACATAACTTGTCAACTTTAAAAGTACTAAGAAAAGGCACTCGTGAGCCTTTTAGGAGGACAATTTTTTAGAATTCTAAAATTTCATGTACAGGATATTTTTTTATTTGCTGTTATAATTTAATTAGTAGTAAGAATTTTAAGTGAACAAAATTCTAAGAGACACTGACAACTGGGGTTGAACTCCTGTTTAGGATAAGCAGCGTTATAGCCAGTTGGAGTGTTGTATCAGCTGCGTTGTAGACAAAATAAATTACAAAATTTAAAACTTTGAAAAGATCCTTTCAAACTGCTATCTGTTTCTAACTGCCGAATATTTGGACGATATTGATTTTTATTTGTTTTAAACTTATATGCTCGATTTATTTGTGTTGACAAAATTCGATAAAATTCTTTATTGTGTTTGTTTTGATTTAGAACTGATTAAGCATTTAAATAAACCAGATTGAACAATGTATAGAAAATAAACTTTCGTCAACTTAAAGAAAACTTTCAGCTAGTACTTTACAACATACTTCTGGGTATAACAAGTTACTTTTGAAACAGTACGATTTTATAACTCTCACAACATATTTGTTACATAATCCTATGTCAGATCAAAACAAAACAATTAGTAGGGCGGGATGAATTTTCCACGATGCCATTAAATTGCTATTTTTCCCTAATATTTTTTAACAGTAGTTAAAAAGAAACATGTTAATTTCATAACCGATAAGATTCTGACACAGACACGTAGAAACGAGAAAAAATGACAATAAACGCAACAGTTACTTTAACTGTACTGTAAAGGTTGTAAGTTACTGATTTTTTGGATCGTTTTTTTAAAACTGATATTGCAAGCAATGAATCTAGTCACTATATAGATTAAGTTCAAGCATCACATAAAACAAAATTATGAAATATGAACATAAATATGAAAATAAATATGAATATTGAGGTTTTGTAAACATTAAAAGCAATGTCTAAATGTCTAATAAATGGCTTTTTTCTTACAGATGGGGCGAACCAACACCGTTTCTCGGTAGTACATTGCTTCATACGTTGCGAACCAACTATTCTGGTGCTGAAATCTGCAATAGGGAACTTGAAAAGTATAAGATATTATAATTTCAATTTTTCTCATTTAACCAATACATAATAGCCAACCTTATTTTACATCTTTAAGCAGAGCTGCCAACTATTACGCTTTTTGCGAAATGTTTTATAGAGTGGTAGACAACTAAAAACTAAAGCTTTCAGTATTTTTGGTAACTTTCTAACCTCTTAAAAGTCTCACTCAAATGGAGTTTCATATAACCCTTTGAATCATTTACATGTAGTGGAAACTAAAATAACTTTAAACCATATTTAAAAAGCAAAGAATTATACATCAAAACATAAACTGAGCTACCACTACCACTAGAAGAAAATTTTCAAAGAACAGTTGAAAGATGGCAGCTTTGTCTTTTAGTATGTTTTTTAAACGCATTAAAAAATTAAATCATTTACTTACAAAAAATTTTAAAACTCACCCAGTAAAACGATACCATACTCTTTGAGACCATCATCAATTAGAAAAACGTAGTACATCAACACTCTGAAATTTAAAATTTCTAAATCTTAATATTTAGTATCCATATTATTTTATGATTGTTAATTATTATATTAAACAAAATATTGTATTATACACATCTGCAACCTTTTGCGATTTCCGAATAATTATTTCCCAATCGAAAGTGAAAGACAAATTAAAATGCAATGAGATAACTGCTTGTGATGTGATATGGATATCTCCATCCTGATTGGCTGTTTAAACGTGGCATTTGTTTACGTTAGCAACAGTTCTTTCCATTCTATTTCGAGTTAGTCAAGTCCGTCAAGCATCAATTTTCGTAAATGATATATTCTATATTCTTACACAAAGATTCTTTCACGAAGATTTCAACTCGTTCATTATATATTTCTTTCTTAACACAAAGACAGGTATGAAGTCATGTAGAACATAAACAAACTAATTGTGCATCGAAGTTTCACCTTATCTCTAGAAACTTTTAAGCGAATCAAAATTTTCTGAACACAATTACACATTTTCTTTCCAAAAAATATTTCCATGCAAAGAATAATTTCTAGTATAAGACGCAGACGAGAATGAATCATATTTCAGCAAATTCTATGTGCGATACGCGCTGTATTTAATTAATTTCACGTATGTATTTTATTATCATTAAAAAAAAATAGAAATGTCCGTTCAGTTTTAAGAAATTGGTAGTAAAATAAATAGGCTTACAACTATTTTAGAATGTTCGTAGTAACCAGAATATTTTAGAACTCCCACTACAAAACCGAAATTCTGAGATTTTAACTTGATAGCAAAAGCTAAAATAGTAAATTTAAAACTTTTCTATATGGAATAAAATTGGCATCAGTGGCTTACAGCAGCGGTTCTTAACCTATGAGTCGTGACCCAAAATTAGGTCGCAAAGCATATTTCTTGGGTCGCGCTGAGTCGAACCAAAAATTTTAGTAATACACCAAATAATAAGTAATACCAACAGCGTTTGGATGCACCAAGTAGTAGTGGTTTTATAAATTCCGCCAAACAAGCTACACTTGCTTCTTTTCATGTGGCTTTGCATATTGCAGACAAAAGAAACCCCATAATATTGCTGAAAAACTTATAAAACCTGCTGCCATTGACATGGCACGTATCATGTGCGGAGATGAAAGTTCAAAGAAATTACAAAATATACCATTATCAAATGATACAATTCGTTTACGAATTAATGATATGTCATTTGATATTAAGAATCAACTTATTTCTGCTATAAAAATTGCTGGTTTATTTAGTATTCAACTGGATGAAACGACAGATGTAAGTAAAGATGCTCAACTCATGGTTTACGTGCGGTATCCAGGTTTAACAGATATACAGGAGGACATTTTATTTTGCAAACCAATGTCAACAACAACTAGAGGTGATGGATTAAATTGGAATCATTGTTTCAGTATTTGCACCGACGGTGCAGCTGCCATGACAGCATCTCAAAAGGGATTTTCGACAAGAGCAAAACAAATGAATTCACAAATTATATCGAATCATTGTTTTTACATAGACAAAATCTTGCTTCAAAAAAATTATCACCCGAATTATGTATCGTTTTGGATGAAATTGTTGCGGTAGTCAATTTTATCAAATCAAGAGCTCTTAACTGAAGAATTTTCCGCGAACTGTGTTTCGAATCTGGTGCAGAATACGAACATTTATTATATTATTCTGAAGTTAGATGGCTTTTCCGGGGCAAAGTTGTTCAAAGAGTTGAGGGAGTTGAAGTGGATTACTCAAGTTGCTTATTTGTCAGATATTTTATTTGAAATAAATAATCTAAATACGTCTATGCAAGGACGTAATCATACTATTATTAAATTAACTGAAAAAATTACATGTTTTAAAAATAAACTCAAATTATGGAGAAATAAGGTTGAAGTAAAAAAACTTGCTTCATTCCCGACTCTTAATTTACTTGTTGAAGACAATAATATGGATATCACAGATTTTGAAATACAGAAAATTATTATTAATCATTTAGAAAAACTAATAGCAGACTTTGATCGATATTTCCCTGCAGACGATGTTTTGAAATATAATTGGGTTCGAATGCCATTCAATTTTGATGTAAGTGATTTGCATGAGGAATTTGTTAATATTAATCAATTTCAAGAACAATTAATAGAAATACAAAGTGACCAAGCACTTCGATACAATTTCTACAAAAACACTGAATCTTTATGTGCTTTCTGGTTAAAATTAAAAACCGAAAAGCCAATAATTGTTAAAGAAGCCCTAAAAGTATTATTGCCCTTTTCAACAACATATATGTGTGACGCTGGTTTTTCGGCTCCGTGTGTAATCAAAAACAATTACCGGAACAAGTTAAATCCTGAAATAGACATAAGGTGCTCCTTGACAAGCATTCAACCGAGGTTTGAAGATCTTTCAAAATGTATTCAAGCACAAGGTTCTCATTAAAACTGTATGACTTGCATTTAAAATTTAGAAGACTTAACATATGTATTGATATTTCTTTTTTTTAGGAATAAGTTAAAATGTCTATTATTTTCAAAAAGTTATAAATATATTTTAATTTGGTCAATAAAAATTATTAAAAACACTTGATTATTAGTTAAATTTTCCTTGGATCGAAAAGTACTTTTGTTTATCCTTATTTTTAAAAAAAATAAATAAAAAATTTGTAAGTTAAAAAAATCATCATCGTAGGATTGAAGATTTTTTTAAAATGCGATCTAAATTAAAGCAATGAAAAAATTTTGACTTTTTTTTGGGTCGCGACATGAACATATTTCTCAAATTTGGGTCGCGGCTTAAAAAGGTTAAGAACCACTGGCTTACAGAGGTGGTTGTATAAGATGCTTGATGCAAACTCCTTGATTTAAATGCTCCTGAAATGAGGAGTTCTATCTTTGAAATTAGAGAAAAAAAATTTAATTTTAAAAGAACGAAAGACCTGAAGCCACATTTTACATTTTTACATATAAATACAAATACATTATACTATAACTATATTGTTAAAAAAAATAATGCTTACATTTTTTTCATGAAATACGAGGAATATTTAAATCTTCATTCTTTATTTTTTTGAAAATTATATTACGTTCTTCACAAAGTACTTTGCTTGAACCAAGTATTTACTTATTAAAAAATTAATTTCATCTGAAAAATGATAGAGTTTAAGGGTCTCTGTAGTCGACTCGACTGGAGGACACTGAATGGTATTGTTTTTATAATTTAAGCATTGTGCTAACCTTGATATAGATCAAACATATTTCACTGTACCACATGATGGTTAAGTTTCTAAATCAAGTATTTTTCAGTTTTGTCTTATTAAAAATCATTGACTTTTCAGCTGCCAATATTCAAAAGCGGAGTCTTTTCTGATGAAAGATACGTCACCCAAATGCTTATGTGAACGCGAATGCCCAGCCAATGTAGTTGCACCAACCTATTCCTTCTCTACAAGAGACCAAATAGTGTTCAACTTGTCTGATATTGATATACCTCAATACATCCTCGACTCCTTCCTTCAGTTCAATGAAAGAAGGTAAATTACTTTTTTTTTATGAGCCACACTAAAATTGATAAAATGTCTTCCCCACAACAGAGTCAATGACACAAAAACAATTTAAACGTTCTTTCTCGTACCAGTTTTAAATATGAATGTAGACTTTTGTGTATTTATTTAATTATTTTGGAAAGGTAGGGTAAACTTACCAGTGATGAAACACTACCCAGTGAAGGAACATTTCATATATATTGATTAAAAATAAGAATTTGAAAGTTTATCTTTAGATTGATTGGTAACAATAGCTTACTGTCAAACAATAGGAAGTCATCTAAAAATGTGTTGGATTACCTGGTCAAATAGTGGAGAACTCTGAAAAAAATTTTGAATTTGTTATTATGTCTGTAACACAATGTTTCTTTGAAAAAATTACAAGGTGAGCGTTTGTATTTATATGTTTGAAGTAGAATTAATTGCATGTAATAGTTTTATTTTTCTCACTGTGAAAAAGAGAATTCAAAATATAGTTATTGAAGTTACGTTTTATTTTTTTTTAAGCATCATAGCATACACTGGATCACCAAACGATGAAAAACTAGTGAAGGAACAAGTGTTCCTTCACTGGGTTTTTTTCTAAGTTAATGAAAATAAAAGATAAACTTCAATTTTCTTGTACCTTTAGTGATGTCCCGCATCAAAAGTATGTTAAAAATACGAAAAACAACTTCTAACCAGTGAGGNTATAACTCTCACAACATATTTGTTACATAATCCTATGTCAGATCAAAACAAAACAATTAGTAGGGCGGGATGAATTTTCCACGATGCCATTAAATTGCTATTTTTCCCTAATATTTTTTAACAGTAGTTAAAAAGAAACATGTTAATTTCATAACCGATAAGATTCTGACACAGACACGTAGAAACGAGAAAAAATGACAATAAACGCAACAGTTACTTTAACTGTACTGTAAAGGTTGTAAGTTACTGATTTTTTGGATCGTTTTTTTAAAACTGATATTGCAAGCAATGAATCTAGTCACTATATAGATTAAGTTCAAGCATCACATAAAACAAAATTATGAAATATGAACATAAATATGAAAATAAATATGAATATTGAGGTTTTGTAAACATTAAAAGCAATGTCTAAATGTCTAATAAATGGCTTTTTTCTTACAGATGGGGCGAACCAACACCGTTTCTCGGTAGTACATTGCTTCATACGTTGCGAACCAACTATTCTGGTGCTGAAATCTGCAATAGGGAACTTGAAAAGTATAAGATATTATAATTTCAATTTTTCTCACTTAACCAATACATAACAGCCAACCTTATTTTACATCTTTAAGCAAAGCTGCCAATTGTTACGCTTTTTGCAAAATGTTTTATAGAGTGGTAGACAATTAAAAATTAAAGCTTTCGGCATTTTAGATAACTTCTTAACCCTTTAAAACCCTCACTCAAATGGAGTTTCATATAGCCCTTTGAATCATTTACATGTAGTTGATACTAAAATAACTTTAAACCGAATTTAAAAAGCAAAGAATAATACATCAAAACATAAACTTAGCTACCACTACCTTAGAAGAAATTTTTCAAAAAACTGTTGAAAGTTGGCAGTCTTGCCTTTTAGTATGTTTTCTTAACGTGGTGAAAGATTAAATCATTTACTACTTACCAAAATTTGTTAAACTCACCCAGTAAAACGATACAATACTCTTTGAGGCCATCATCAGTCAGTAAAACATGGTACATCAACACTCTGATATTTAAAATTTATAAATCTTAATATTTAGTAGCCATATTATTTTATGATTGTTAATTATTATATAAAAAAATTTGTATTTTACACAATGACATCTTTTGTGCTTTCCGAAAAATTATTTCGCAATAGATAGTGAAGGAATAATTAAAATGCAATGGTATACCAGAGATGTCAACTGCTCCGGACACGCCGAAATAATTAAAAAAAAACGGTAATTAACTGCAAAGTAAATTTTGCAAATGTTTGACAATTTTTGCTTACTTTTTGAAAGGCATAGCTCAACCTAAGTATAATGAAGTGGCGAATAATATAAGCCTACGAATTATTTAGAAATAGAGGTGGATAAAAATCTACTAAATTGAATTTATTAAACCAATAATCACAATTGATAAACTACCACTTTAAAATATATATTTTCTGTCCGGAGCAAGTTGTCATCTCTGGTATACCTGCAAGTGATGTAATATGGGTATCTCGATCCTGATTGATTGTTGAAGCGTGGTATTTGTTTACGTTAGCAACTGTTCTTTCCATTCTATTTCGAGTAAGCCAAGTCCGTCAAGAATCAATTATATTAAATGGTACATTCTACATTCTTACACAAAGATTAATTGACGATTATTTCAATTCTTTCATTATATATTTTTTACCTAATACAAAGACAGGCACAAAATCATGTAGAGCATATACAAAATAATTATGCATCGAAGTTGCCAGGTACAAAAAAGAGAAATATATTTCTGTTACAATAAAATACATAAACAAATAATAAATCTGAAATTTTTTGCGTATTTCTCCTTTTCTCTAAAAACTTTTAAGCGAATCGAAATTTTCTGTACACAATTACACATTTTTTTCTCCAAAATTATTTCGATGAAAAAAATAATTTCTAGTATAAGACGTAGACGAGACTGAATCATATATTAAGTTTTATACCTTAACAATTAGATATCTGTTGCACATTAGTTGTTTAATACATAGGTGCACATTAAAGTTATTGTAGCCCGAATTCTTTAATATGCAATTAAATATCTTTAAAAATCTACTTCTTATTTTTATTTGTAATTCAATACTTTTGTTTTGTACAACTTGGTAAAAATCCGACAGTAATATTTAATGTTCCTTCAAACATAAAAGAGTTCTACATAAAATTTTGTTAAAGTTGCGACCCGCCATTTGATGTGTGTTTTTAATTGTGGCCCCCGGCCTCATGTAAGTTGGAAACCCCTGATATAGATCAAACATATTTCACTGTACCACATGATGGTTAAGTTTCTAAATCAAGTATTTTTCAGTTTTGTCTTATTAAAAATCATTGACTTTTCAGCTGCCAATATTCAAAAGCGGAGTCTTTTCTGATGAAAGATACGTCACCCAAATGCTTATGTGAACGCGAATGCCCAGCCAATGTAGTTGCACCAACCTATTCCTTCTCTACAAGAGACCAAATAGTGTTCAACTTGTCTGATATTGATATACCTCAATACATCCTCGACTCCTTCCTTCAGTTCAATGAAAGAAGGTAAATTACTTTTTTTTTGAGCCACACTAAAATTGATAAAATGTCTTCACCACAACAGAGTCAATGACACAAAAACAATTTAAACGTTCTTTTACGTGCCAGTTTTAAATATAAATGTACTTCTTTGTATTTATTTATTTATTTTGGAAAGGTATTAAAGGTTCTACAACATCTAGTAAACGCTAAAATAGTCTTATTCTGTGAATAATCTTAAATTGGATTCGAAATCTTGTCTTCGAAAAATAATAAAATTAATTCAATAATTTTGAAACTTCATTTCCCGAATGAACTAAAAAGAGCTAGATCTACACCTCCTACGACAGATAGCCTCCACACCGGCTTTTATAAGTAGTCTGCGCAGATTATCTAAAATACGAACCAGTTGTGAGCATGAAGCCAAATTTTATTTTTAAAATAATTGGGTATAATATAAAAAAACACAACTACTTCCACTTAGTAGGAATAACATTTACCATGACGCAATGCTAAATTCTATACCACTATCCACATAAATCCCACTATCCACATAAATCAATTATTAATCAAAAATCGAATATCAATTACTTTTCTTTATAATGCAATAAAATCTGGCGAGCAGCTATTTAAACGATCAAACACTTCGTTTGTTTATTTGTGGCTTGAAGTTAGGCTCGCAGAAAATGCCGTTCATGGGTTAAATTTAGTAGGAATAACACAACCTGTGACGTAGGCTATAGTATACCCAATTAAGAGAAATATATCATATATATAGTTCGTTCACCAGGAGTTGGCACTTGGCTCCGCCTTCATCACGTGGTATCGGATGATATTATTTCGCTATTTTGGGAAGAAGGATGTGAACAAGGCTGCTATTTGGTGATCGTATGACAAAAATATTTATTTCGCAATCTTCATGTGCATATTTTGAGCATGTGCATTTTATTTCATAAACTTGTTGATATTTATCACCTTTTGTTGAATAGTTTGTTCTTTTTGAGACATTTTGTCGGAAAAAAGTTTTTAATTATAAATTAGCTAAAATAACGAAAGGTATAATGGCTGATGATAAAGCGAAGTAAGTGACTGAAAAAGAATTCACTGTTTGTGTTTGGCCATCACCTTCTACATCAGAAAACCTCCATACGGTTTCTTATAAGTTGTCTGCGCAGAATATTTAAAAAGTGAACAGTTTGAGCGCATGAAACCAAATTCTATTTTAAAAGTGACTGAGAGCAATTTGTCATATATATTTGAGAATTGAATGTGTAGTGGTAGACAAGTAAATAAGACAAACTAATCATATTAAAAAATTAAACAAATTTTTAGACATCCTCTTACTCCCCCGCGCTGAAATGAGCTCTACGTCCGAGGAGGTGGTGCCAAGTGCCAACTCCTGGTGAACGAACTATATTTGAGAAGTGAATCCGTAGTGCTAGACAAGTGAATAAGACAAACCAATCATATTCATAAATTAAACAAATTTTTAGACATATACTTACTACCGCTTTCTAATTTTTGATAGATTTTCGATTGAACGGTTCTTTCGTAAGCTGGTTTACCTTTATAGTGGTCTGACCAGACTACCTATAAGAAACCGTGAGGAGGCTTTCAGTTATAGGAGGCCACTGAATTCACTGGATCTTATTTTAATTTTAGCTAATAGTTTGGATTTTTATTTCCCTAAACTCATTGCAAAAATCCTCCATTACTCTGAGCTCGTTGCAGGCAGCTTAAAACAAATCAAGTTCAGTAAAAAAATTTCTGATAAAACTTTAAATCATTCATTAAAGCTAATTATGTTTTGTGTGTCTAGAAAAATTTTGCAAATTGTCAATAAAAAAAATAAGACATTTTTAAAAATGTTAATAACATGTCATCTGGGTATGATAAAAGTTGATTTTTTTTTTCGTATTCCTTGTAGCTACATTATTAAATATACAATTTGTTTCACAGATTAAGCTATTTGAATATTTAAATGAAATAAGAAAGAAATCGAAATATTTAATGTAAAATAATTATTTCTATTAATACACATTAAAAAATGTAATGATATTAAATAATTTAATAAAGTTTATTTATATAACAAAATATAAGAGCTTTTTATCTGTGCAATTTTAAACAATGATTAAAAAATACATTCAAAATATTCTTTTTTTTTTAAAAAAAAGGAACATTTGGTAGAATACGACAACCTGTTGTTTAAAGATCTTTATTAGCATAGATGAAGATTTTATGTCAATAAACTGCAATTAGCAATAAAATATTTTTATAGTATTAATACTGCTTTTCCTTTTGAACTTTTTTATAATTTTACAATTCAATTATAAATTATGTAATGAAATTATATAATACATTATTTATATCGATGGAAAAGGTATTGGGAAAAACATAAAAGCATTTCAATTATCGAATATAAAGACTTCCTGGGCATTGTTTATTTCAAAAAAAATTTTTTAAATATTTAATTAAACTAGTCAATTCAAGAAAAATTATTTAAAAATGAGTCTGTATTTTCTTACAAATGGAAAAGAATATTACCATCTGTGTTATTGTATCAATAGCTAAAATATCTATAAAAAAATATATTCTGTTTTGCACTCGAATAAAAGCATAGAGCTCATAATATTTCATGAAATATCCCAGTTTATGTATAAAAAATATTCTTATTAACCCTATCGTTACGAGCACCGTATTTAGCCGGCATCCGCGCGACGACCTATGTCTACAAACGTCTGCTTCAGCCAGCATCCACGCGATGATCTGTGAGTACAAACACCTGTTCTAACCAGCATCCACGCGATGATCTGTGAATACGAACGCCTGTTTTACGCAGCATCCACGCGATGATCTGTGTGTACAAACGCCTGTTTCAGCCGTCATACCATATGACGACCTGTGTGTACGAACGTCTGCTTTAGCAAGCATCCACGCTATGATCTGTGAGTGCAAACGCCTGCTTTAGCCAGCATCCATGCGATGATCTGTGAATACGAACGTCTGTTTTAGGCAGCATCCACGCGATGATCTGTGTGTACAAACGCCTGTTTCAGCAGTCATACCATATGACGACCTGTGTGTACGAACGTCTGCTTTAGCAAGCATCCACGCGATGATCTGTGAGTGCAAACGCCTGCTTTAGGCAGCATCCACGCGATGATCTGTGTGTACAAACGCCTGTTTCAGCAGTCATATCATATGACGACCTGTGTGTACGAACGTCTGCTTTAGCAAGCATCCGCGCGATGATCTGTAAGTACAAACGCCTGTTTTAACCAGCATCTAAGCGATGATCTGTGTGTACAAACGCCTGTTTCAGCCAGCATCCCATATGACGATCAGTGTGTACGAACGTCTGCTTTAGCCAGCATTCACGCGATGATGGATAAGTGCAAACGCCTGCTTTAGCCTATCCATGCGATGATCTGTGAATACGAACGCCTGTTTTAGGCAGCATCCACGCGATGATCTGTGTGTACAAACGCCTGTTTCAGCCGTCATACCATATGACGACTTGTGTGTACGAACGTCTGCTTTAGCAAGCATCCACGCGATGATCTGTGAGTGCAAACGCCTGCCTTAGCCAGCATCCACGCGATGATCTGTGAATACGAACGCCTGTTTTGGGCAGCATCCACGCGATGATCTGTGTGTAAGAGTGCCATATTTAGCTGATGCCAGCATGGTATTGTTTGATTACCATTTAATTCCACTAAAAGTGTTGCGCTTGATATGTTTCGTAAGTCGATTGCATTTTTATTTATAATAGAAATAACCATGATGGCTATGGGGATATAACGCTCGCCTACCAAATAGGTGACTCGGATTTGAATCCCAGTCATGGTTAGTCCATGCGAATTCCACACCCGACTCGCACTGACCACAGAAATAGCGTAAAATGTCCTTTGTTGGAGACGGATCATGGTTAGAGTCCCCTTAACGTCAAGCTAACTATGAGAGATTTTCGTGACTTTCCTCACCATCTAACGCAAATGTGGGTTAGTTCCACCAAAAAGTCTTCCAAGAAGGCTAATTTGTCCCAACACGTAATCCAGGAGTTCCCTTGTCTTCTGGATTGGGTTCAAAATTATAAGGCTACAATTCAAAATTGGGTCGGCTGTTCAACGACGGTTACAAAATAAATAATACTTGCAAAATTTCCAAATATATTGTTATCATACCTGCCAACTTTTACGCATTTGGCGTAAAATTTTATTTTTATATTTAAAGTGGTAATAAATATATACTATCTTCTTCTTTTATAAACTAAATTTTTAAATGATTTTGATCACCACTATTCTTAAAAAATGAAGCATATATATTAATATGTGTTACTATCATGGTAGGCAGCTTGAGCTCTTTCAAATTTAACGTATTTTTTTGCTTAAAATTGAAATTTTTATTCCATTTTAATACCACTGGGAAAAATCATAATGGAAGGGATTACAAGTTGGCAGGTATGTGTTATGCAGCACCTATATAAGAAGATTTGATAATATGACCATTACTAAAATTTGCATAAAAGAAATGAACGTTTCGGAATTTACATATGTTTCAGAACATATTCTGGATATTCAGAAATGATTAAAAACTAAATATTAAAAAACTTTTTTTGTCATAGAAAATACTCGTATTAATATTTTGAAGTATTGATATTATAATCAAGAACATAAAGAATAAATCGTGATTTTACATTATCAAAAGTAGGATTATCAAACAGAGATTTATTTGCATACTTGGAATTCTAACAACACAAACGAACCATTGCATGTAAACATTCATAGAATTCTATAAGTAAACAACATGATTGCATTATTTCTATTTCTCAAGGTATGTATGTAAAAAAAAACTAAACTACGTTATCGCTAGGAAATATTTTTTCTCAAAGTGTTGCAAGTTGGCTTTTCTGTTTATATTAAGATTATTAAAAATTATTTTTTAAAAAAGTATAAGTAAGTACCACTATTTTAACAAAAAATATATTAATATAAAATTTAAAAAACCTTCATGTATAAATTGATTTCTTGTCTAATTAAACATACTTAATCAAGTAGCAATCATTCAAATAAAGTGGTAGCTACAAATTATTTATAGTAGTTCAAGTGATGAATATACGCCTAGCTTTACTTTAACCCCTTAAACGTTCTAACAAGGGAGAAAGTTAAAGGCAAATTTGCGTATGCCCGTTTTTCATTCGGATGATTTTGAATCTCGCGGTATTTAATTTCTAATGCCCGTTCTATTAAAAGATGTTAGGCTGGATTATAATTAAATTTATTTACCACGGATGACATTACTATGCAGTATTTTTCTTGAGTAAACCATGTGGTGCATTTTGATGATAAGCTATTTGATATATATTTATTTAATTTATTGATTATTAATTGGCGTATTGATTTAATTTAATATTTCGAAACTCAAAATTAACATCCAATCAAATTGTTTAAACCTTGTTTGTACAGTAATTTTTTTTATCTAACTTTTATGCCTATCCCAACTACCTAGTCATCTGAAATTGCAAAAAATAACTTACACCATATACATAACTGCCAACTTTTACGCATTTGGCGTAAAATTTTATTTTCATATATAAAGTGGTAGTAAATATATGCTAATTTTTCTTTTATAAACCTAATTTTTAAATTATTTTGATCACCACTATTCTTAAAAAAATTAAGCGAATATATTGTTATGCGTTATTATCATTGCAGTCAGTTTTAAGCTTATTAAAAAACAACGTATTTTTTTTCTTAAAATTGAAATTTCGATTCCTTTTTAATACCACTGGGAAAAATCATAATGGAAAGGATTAAGAGTTGGCAGGTATGCATACCTGCCAACTTTTACGCATTTGGCGTAAAATGTTATTTTTATATTTAAAGTGGTAGTAAATATATACTATTTTTTCCTTTATAAACTTAATTTTTAAATGATTTTGATCGCCACTATTTTTAAAAAACTTACGCATATATATTAATATGCGTTACTCTCAACGACTTCAGCTCAAGCTTTTTCAATTACAACCTATTTCGTTGCTTAAAATTGAAATTTTAATTCCATTTTAATACCACTGGGAAAAATCGTAATTGAAGGGATTAAAAGTTTGCAGGTATGGGTATGCATACATGTTCTTTTTGTCAAAAAAAAAAGAAACTCGATAATTTTTACCACTTTTTCCAAAAAAAACTCTTGGTTTAAGACTTTAAGAGGTTAAATGAATGGATCCTATTTGTCAAAAAAGAAGACAAAAGTGGTAGCCTAAGTGTTTTATTGTTAGAATTTATTTTGTAGACACAAGAATGTTCAGTTGACCATAATGTGCTAAATATTAGATCCAGGGGTGAAAGCGAGACGGAAAAGAGGATAAGCTGGTAGTAAAACCATTTCAGTTATAGCTAGTTTTAGGGAGGAGTTTACTTATTCTTTTTTTAAATTTTTCAACAATCTCTACTTTATCTTGGAAAAGAAGCAGTTTTATATATATGCCAGAATTATAAAAGAAATCTTGATAGTTACAGATATTTCATTTTTTTCGAAAAAAATGCTGGAATGAAATGTTTTACGTACCAGGTTTTTCTCTTTTCCGTCTTGCTATATAAGAGCTTTCTCCCATGATTAGATCTACCTAAAAATTCTGTTAAGTTTTAATACCAACCTTTTTAAAGTTATCTTAACAATTAGATATCTGTTGCACATTAATTGTTTAATACGTAGGTGCACATTAAAGTTATTGTAGCCCGGATTTTTCAACATGCAATTAAATATTTTTAAGAATCTACTTCGTATTTTAATTTGCAATTCAATACTTTTGTTTTGTACAACTTGGTAAAAATCTGACAGTAATATTTAATGTTAATTTAAACGTAAAAGAGTCCTACATAAAATTTTGATAAAGTTGCGGCCTGCCATTTGATTTGTGTTTTTAATTGTGACCCGGCCTCATGTTAGTCGGAAACCTCTGAACTAGAGTATATGTCAAACAATAATTTCTTTTCATTAAAAAGGGTTATATTTATTATTATTATAATTTTTGTATTATTATTATAATTTATGCGTTATTATTATAATTTATGCGTTATTATTATAATTTATGTGTTATTATTATGATTTATATGTATTGTTATTATTATAATTTAGGTATTATCATTATTGTACTTTGTGTATTATTATATTAAATTAAGTATTATTAATATTATTATAATTTATGTAATATTATTATTATTATATATGTATTATTATTATTATTATATATATATTATTATTATTATTATTTACTTATTACTGTTGTCATCAAAAACGAAACTAAAATGGCCGTTAACTTTTCATGTTATTTTTGCTTTAGATATGGCGGATGGACAATAGAAGAGAGTAATTCTGATGAAGATGTAATAAAAACTTGGTTTGAAAATAGTGGTTATCACGCTGCACCTTCTTATTTAAACACGATTAACAACGCTATTTTGAAAGGGAGAACAGGATACGATTTTGGTATGTCGACATTTATATTTATTTTTTACTCAATTCATTTCATACATGCAACATGTTGACGATAAAACCCGAAAAAAGGACATGTTCCTAAAAAAAGGACATGTTCCCAAAACACTGAGCAAAATAAAAATTAAAAATAAATGCCGCCCTCAATAATTTCAGTTCTTATAGTTGGATTTTCCGCTCTTTATCATTCAAAGGGCTGACCTCAAATATTCTAATTAATTAGTGATAACTATGAGTTAAGTTAAGAAATCAGACACGAAAACGTACTTTTGGCTGTAAAATTTTGTGGACGTAATCTAGAAAATATGCCCTCAATAGTTTACACGCATCGTTATATGCTAATTAATAGCTAGCATTTGCTAATTAGCATATTTGAGGTCTTCTTTTTGGAATCATTATTATAGGCAGTGAATTCGTGAAAATACAAAACTGCAAAAGTTGTTCAAGGTGATGTATTTTATTTTCAGCACTGTGCTAAAACTGATTGAGCTTGAGTTTGCATGAAACGTACAAGTAAACTGTTGTTATTTAAAATCCCGAAAGTAAATGTATAAGAAGAGAAAATAAGTTTATTAAAACTTAGATATGTGTATGATTTGTTTCGTCAAAATCACTGTGAAACAAATACGCTAAATTGGAAATGAAATGATAAGGCTTAAAATGTACTACAACTTTAAATATTTTAGAAAAATATCTCGTTAAAATGGCGAGAAACAGAGCTATCATATTTTCCGGTTGAGATATAATTTCATTTTTATACTTAAATTGATAGCGAAATTTATGATTTAGTATTTAATTCTTGTTTTAATAAAATTGATTTAAAATTATATTATATTATCGAATTTCATCATACATATACTATTAGATATTTTACTACCATTCGAGGAAACATTCCTCAAAACTTATATATGTAAGCAAGTTATAATAAAGCTGATTTCTAAGGAAGGGATTTAAAAACATAGACGTAAGATTTATTTAAGGGAAAGGAATTAAAAAACCATCCACTTGAGCTTTAGGTTTGATTATTTGCTTTTGTTAACACTGACACGAATTTTGATCATACTTTAAAAAAATTTTACATAAATTTATTCTATTGAGCATGTTAAATAAATAGAACATACATTTCTCTTTTTTTACTTTTCAGATATTCAAACTTGGAGTCATCCTCTACGCCTGAGTGTGGAACAACTTGGTAGAGAGTCTCTGTGAGTTCCTATCTATTTTGATTATTAATCGCTCGAAAAATGTTAACTTTGTGTCCCGGGTAAAAGTTTTAACGTTGCTTGGAACAATACAGATTTTCAACGGGCTGTGGCATCACCTCCAACATCAAAAAGCCTGCACACCGTCTTTTATAAGTAGTCCGCGCAGACGGCTTAAAAAGTGAACCAGTTGTGCGCATGAACCCAAAACCTTTTATCAAAGTAATTGAGAGAAATTCATCATATATATTTGAGAATTGAATCTGTAGTGGTTGACAAGTGAATGAGGCAAATTAATAATATTCATAAATAAAACAAATTTTTAGTCATATATTTGCTACCACTTTTTTATTTTAACTAAATTTTGTATTAAATGACTCGTTCGGAAAGTGGATATACTTTACAGTGGTCTGATCGGACTACCTATAAAAAACCGTGTGGAGGCATTCAGTTGTAGGAGGCGTTGGCTGTGGTAGCCTAGTGGTTTGAGAATCGGACTCCGATCTGGAGGGCGTCGAGGTTCGATCCTCGACTCTGCTTAGACCTACCAAGTATATGCGATATACGTGTTCGTGGTAAAATCTGTAGAATTGAAAATCCTGTGGTCGATCCGGGAGTAGTATCAGGGATGAAGGAATCTGAAGAAAATTTCCTTCAGATCTACGCCTAAATTGATTAAGTGGTCTCACAAAATTGTGATGGATCATCCTCAGGGATGTTTCCAAAACCGTCGTCTAGAGGTCTGTCAGGTCTATGTCTAAATTTAGGAAGTGACCTCGCGAATGAATGGTGCTGCCATCTATTCGTGAGGCTCTGAGCCAAGGCGTACTTTGACCCTTGAGGTGCATCTTTCTGACTTAATTGGCAAAAGGCTGGACCTAACCAATTGTTATTGGAAACAACAACTAATAGGGATTTCTTAAAATTTTCGTAATTTTTTATAATAACTATCATATATCGATTTACCGATTTAAACATAGGATAAGGAGCTATCTGTTACTTCATCGAACTTGATGTAATTAAATGAGGGAAGGGGGGTGTCCAAAGCTTACTTAAGATTAAATTAAAGATAAAGAGATAAAAACATGATAATAAAATGAATACACTAATTCGATGTATACAAAAAATAAAATGGGATAGGGGAAAAACTATTCACGATAATCTATCAGATGCAGAGATGCCAACTTGCTCCGGACAGCAAATATATATTTTAAAGTGGTAGTTTATCAATTGTGATTCTTGATTTAATAAACTTAATTTAGTAGATTTTTATCCACCACTATTTCAAAATAATTCGTAGGCTTATATAATTCAGAGCTTCGTAATACTTGTGTCATGCTGTACCTTTTAAAAAGCAAGCAATTGTAGTCAAATACTTTCGAAATTTACGTTGAAGTTATCTACCGTTCATTTAATTATTTTGGCGTGTCCGGAGCAGTTGGCATCTCTGCAGATGCAGACTCCAACTATGTGAAGCTGTTGTGAATTATTTTTTTCATTCGTAATGAAATAATTCAGAATTTTCTTAAATAAGCAGAATTTTGTTTTAAAAAAGTATTAAAATTGAAGAATTTGATAAACATTTGTCTGTATGCATTTTTTTAAATCACTTCTGGTGGACAAAATTGTTTTAATTCTAAATAATTAAAATAAAATACCTTACTTTATAGTTTCCACTAGGAAAAATATTTTCTGAAACTACAGAAAATCTGTAGTAGTTGGAAAATCATGTAAAAAATTCTGATTTACGCTTGTCAAAGTGTTGAGATAAAATCAAAGCTGCAATTTTTTCAATGAAGAAATTATCCAGTATCCCAATATGTTTGTGTCAAAATAATTAAATTATTAATTTTTTGACGCAGATTGAAAACAGGTGTCCCTTTTATATATTTTTTTCTAACGCTCTAATTACAAGCAAAAATATATTTTGCTATTTTTTAATTATGAAAAGCAATCTAATAGTAACCAAAAAGAATCTATAATATTATCAGAATTATATTTCTACTTCTACTAAAATATAAAATGCAAAAAAAAAACCTAATTTGAGTTTTTTTCTTTATTCGTATTCAAAAATTTCTTGATATTTGACTTTGTAAATTAAAGAATTTCCTTGCTATAAATTATTAAAGTACTAAATATATTATTTTACACTTATTAATAATACAAAATAATGGAAAAAGGTTCACCTCTCGAGTGGAAAGGGTTAAAGCTTTTTTTAAGGGTTAAAAAAATTCAGGACTGCCAACTTTCTACAATTTTTGTAAAAATTTATTCTAGTGGTAGTTAAGTTTATATTTTAACGTCTTATTTTTTTTTTATTTATTTAAACTGATTTTCCAGACCACTACATATTTAAAAATTTATAAGTTCATATGCAACGCCACTTCGATCTAGTTCTTTAGTGGCTTTTAAAATGTTGGCAAAATTTCTGAAAATTCTGATATTACGTCGAGTCTACCACTCAATAAAGTATTTCGCAAAAAGCGTAGTAGATGGCAGGCTTGAGAATGGTATATTTATTCATGGAAAGTGATGATATCGTAACTTAGACTTGAAATATATGACATGCATGCCTGGCAACTACTACTCTTTTCGCAAAATATTTTATAGAGTGGTAAACATTTCAAAACAGAAACTTTCAGGATTTTTGGTAATTATGCCAACTTTTTAAAAGTCTCAACACGATAGATCTGGAACAAAATGCGTCCCAACAGAGCTTTTAAATCATTTATGCGCAGTGTTATGGAAAATAAGTTTAAATTAATAAAAAATAATACATTAAGACATAAACTTAGCTACCACTAGACACACTAAACTACGCACTTCTTTTCCAATGCCCTCCTGAAGAATGACCTTTCGTCATACAGTCATCTGAAGGGCAGATTTGTTGGCAACTCTTTCAGGGGCACGATAAAAGTGGGCCTCCTACAGTAAGGACAGATAGTGCAGAGAATAAAAGAACATCCATGTCTTGCTGGGGATTCGAACCCAGAACCTTGCTGATGCAAGGTCAGTTCCCTGACCCCGGCACAGGTCGGTTGGTCATTAACTACACACTAAACTTACAAAAAGCGTAGAAATTTGACAGCCCTGCATATGTACTAACTAATTAATACATTTAGGGTCCACCCCATACTATAAGTAAATGAGTTTATGCCTGGCCACCCAGAAAGTCATTCGGCGGGATTTATTCCCTCATTAGCATAAGAGTTAAAAGTTCAATTCCAATCATTAGATCAAACAAGTTAAACAAGAGAAGTGTTACATTTTTCAATTGTGTATAAAAGTTTAAAATACTTTTTTTAAATATCATTCACAGTTTGGAAAGACTGGCTGAAGTAGGAATTGCCTTCGTCTTTCTCATTGGCCTGTCTCTGGTCCCTTGTACCTTCGCAACCTACATCGTAGGGGAGAGGCAATCCGAACAGAAGCGTCTGCAGATGGTAACAGGAGCAATAGGTCCTCTCCTGTATTGGAGTGTTGCTTTTATATGGGACATTGGAATAGTTTTCTTTACCAGCCTTATATCTGCTGCTATCGTTGGATCTTTTGCTTTACCAGCATTTTACCAAAGAGATAACTTTAAAGCTGTATATACTCTCATCTTTCTTTATGGGTAAGATACTTTTAGTTGAAAAAATCGATATAAAATTCATTAAGAGAAACATCTTTGAAGTCTGAGTAATGGGGATTTTTAAAAAAAAACTTGTAATTCGACAATATTCAAACCAGTTTCCTAAAAGCAAAACTTGAAACTCATACAAGTAAAAGATATGAAACAAAAGACGCGGATAGTTACGAACTACTGTCATCGTGTAATTACAGTATCAGCTAAAATTATCGATATTAAATTAAGAGTTCACTATAAAGTTTATGAACGAGAAAGCGTATAGCTTTGATTATATATTTCCGTTCAAATTACTTTCTTAAAGTCTAAAACTTGGAAAATCATATGAGTAAAAACGATAAATGATGCTGATAATTTTTAACCTTATTTTTTCTGCGGGTATATTCTTTCTTGTGTATCAATTTCTTTTTGTGTTATCTAAACGTATTAAAATTAAATCTATTAAGTTCATTCACAAAGCAATTTTTTAAATAAAAATGAAAAATAATAACTTTCAAGACACTTAACTAAAATTTCGAAATCTCTTTGGAAAAAAAACTAAATAGTTATCAGGCAGTGCCTAATAGAGAGCTTTAGCATTTCGCACAGCATTTCATATATTTCAGTACTAATGTTCAACGCAATAACTACAAAACAATCTCGGTTCTTGAGAACATACATACAACATGTATGTTAACTAGACGAATATTACGTGATCTCTATCTTTCTATCTCTATCTATCTATTTATCTTCCTGTCTATCTATCTATTTATCTTCGATCAATTTATATTTATCTGTTTATATCTATCTAGTTATATCTATCTATTTATATCTATCCATTTATATCTATCTATTTATATCTATCTATTTATATCTATCTATTTATATCTATCTATTTATATCTATTTATCCATCTCTACCTCTGTCTATTTATCTTATATATTAAATATCTTCCTAAGATTTTACCTATGAGTTTTTCAGAGTGTTTTGAACGCATTAAAAGTGTCTCGCTCTGAGTCAGGGAAATTTTCTCATGATGTAATGGTGTGAAGCAAAAACAAATTCCTTCAAAATTTGTTCGTAACGTAAAATCTAGCCAATGTTCTACTATCAAATACAGGGTCTCCCGCAATGACCACCCTTAATATGTGTTTCTATAATCCTCTTTTAAAATGAAAGCAAAGAAATGTACACACTGAGGGTCCCAAAGTAATATTAAACCGACAAAAAAACAAAAACGCTGCCGAAATGAGAATTAATCACAGTACTGGAACGCAGATGTAACAAACAACAAGACAGCTTTAATTGTGGAAGTAAGAAGAGAGGAGTTGTAAGACGATTTGTAGGAACACCTTTAAGTTCCAACCTCCAATTAAAACTGTTTTGTTGTTAATTTCATCCACCTTCCTCAACAGTAATTTGCCAGATTTCGATAGAGTTTTGGTTTTTTTCTAGTTTAAATATTCATTTGTAACCCCTTATTAATATTCTTTTTTTTCATATTTGATAAGGATTTTAAAAATGTAAATAAAAGCGGTCTTTGCAGAACACCTTATTCTAGTATTCATTCTAATATTATTCATTCTTACAGGTGGGCAACGACTCCTATTACTTACTTTTGCAGTCGTTTTTTCAAGGAAGGCAGTTTAGCATTCATGGTCGTATTCACAAGTCATCTCTTCATAGGTTTAGTCATAATGTTTGCTCTCGTCAGTTTACGCATGATCAGTATATCAAAAGTAACTACTCCTTTATTGTTTGCTAGAGTAATTCACTTAGAGCTCATAGATAGTTAAGTATATTGTCCGTCCATCGTAAAAAAACGATTAAAGGCCAAATCACTTAAGAAAATTCATATGTTAAAAGAGAGGCTCTTTTCACTGTTTAGAAACGGTAAGAAAAACATAGTTTTACACAGGTTTTTTACAGGTTATTCCAATTTAATCCTAAAATATTTCAGGCATAGGGGCGAATTACGAATTATTTATTCCACTAACATATTAATTGCATTCATGCATCATATGAACGACAATTCGGTGGAGTTGCACTGATTACACGTAGAAACGCGTTTAAGTTTACAGTAGGCTGCGATTGCTAATGAAGATTCTTCAGCACAATAACAGCTGCCCCCTGCCAAAATGAAGTATCTGAAGGTCAATCATCTTTTTATGAAGGGCTGTGATTAGAGGATTGGACAGCGCTACGGAGGGTCGGGGTTCGATCGTCGACTACACTGAATCTAACTGAGTACATGTAATAAACATGCTCTTAAAATCTGTGGAATCGGAAGTCCTGTGGTCGGTCACTGAGCAGTACCATGGATACAGAAATTTGGAGAAAATGTCCTTCCCCTTCAGATCTATGTCTAAATTGATTAAGTGGTCTCACAAAATTGGTCTGGATCATCCTCAAGGATGTTTCCCAGACCGTCGTATACAGCCCATTGTGCAGCTCTAGTGCAAAATAAATAAGGTGCCTATCCATCTATCTCTTATGGAGGATAGACAATATTTGAATTATAAATAAACTTATTTTACATAATTCACAGATATTAAACACATCTTATTGCCTACATGAAAATCGTAGTGTTTTTGCCTAAATAAAAATGAGGGCAATAACACACCTCACCAAAATGAACTCTACGAAGGTCATTCGATTTTTTATGGAGGATGGACATTATTTTAATTATTAATTTTAACGCAGTAAAATTAATTGAGATATTTAATACATTTCATTTCCCACATGGAAATCGTTGAGTTTTGTAAATAAAACTCTCTCTTGAATTAGCTTTGCATCTAATCACCCCAAGTTCTTCTATGCAATTATAATCATTCAATTTTATCATTTCTGTATTTCAATATATTCAGTGCGATGCAGTTCAGTGGTTGCAAACTTGACAAAGATGTGATATTATCATAAGGATTAAAAATTTCAGAATGGAATTCATAGTGTGGAATTAATTTTGACCCATGACAATCCAGCGGCGTTTGATGACTCACTCATTTTATTAGAGACTTTCCTGTCTGTAATTAATCCCAGTTACATTGCAAGCTTTTAATTTTTTTTAATTCATCTGAAATTTAAAAAAAAGGTAAAAAATCAAGATTTTTTATTTTAAAAAAAAATAATAAATACTATACATGAGAACGAGTAGTTAAAAGCCGTTGGATTGGAAAATCGCTCGCCGGAAATGTCATCATTTGATATTTCCCTGTCACTGAGCTTCTTGTTCGTGCTCCTTGAACTGGAACCTTTTATTTATCTAATTTAATGTCTTATTTTATTTTGTAACCGTAGTTGAACAGCCTAAACCATTGATTGAGTTAAGGATTACTAATGTTTAGCTCTGTAACCTCGTAAGTTTGAACCCAATCCATAAGACAAGGGAACTTTTGGATCAAATATTGGGAGAAATTTGTCTTCTTGGAGGACTTTTTGATGGAACTAACTCGCATTTGAGTTACATGGACAGAAAACCGTGAAAACCTTCCATGGTTAGCCTGATGGCAGAGGGACTCAAATGCATGATCCATCTACCATTAAGGATATTTTCTGTCAGAACTGTGGTCGGTACTAGCCGGGTGCGGGATTCGTATCGACTGGGATTCGAACCCGGTTCGCCTCATTGGAAGGAGAACACACTATCCCCTGAGCTACCATATTTATGTTTTGTAATAATTTCAAAAATATTTTCAAATGAGCTCAAGAATAACTTTAAAAAAAAAAGAAACTGGTTAGTTACCCAAGTTGGACGCCGAATCAATAAATTACGATAAAACAGCATTTTCAGCAATATTCGATTATAATTATTAGATAAAACATATTAAAATAATTTAAATAAATAATCAGAAAGTTACGTGAACAGTAAGTCCATAACTATGAAGCGCTCCTAGCGGCATACAGAGACATTTCCTACCACGAACTTCTATGAAGTTCTCATTATTTATGATGGGTTCTAACTCTTCTCCAAATTCGTAACTGTTGTTCACCTTGCATTTTAAGCTATTTAACATAAATTATTATTCTCTAATAATAATAATTATAACTCTCTAACATAAATTATTATTCTCTAATATAGGATGTCACATCAACTCTCGAAGTTCTCCAGAAGTTTTCTCTCATCTTTCCCCAGTACAGTCTCGTCGGTGGTCTGACGGATTTAAATGAAAACCAAATACGCACAGAAATATTTGAACAATTCGGTCAAGACATCTACGCGTCTCCTTTTAAGTGGAATTCGTTGGGTCCCAATTTTGTGGCTCTCTTTCTGCAAGGAATCATTTTCTTCTTACTGACTGTCCTTATTGAGATTGTACCTTGGAGATACTGGTATCAGAGGCAAGTTTACACACTGTTTTTTTACTTTATACGGTGATAAATATTTTTCTCACATTAAATTTTCACTCCTGCAACGATTTTTCATACCCTTCAACAAAAAGATTTTACCAGTGATTAAATTCCTCAGTTAGCAAATTAATTTTATTTTCATATTATTAATTTCTTATTTATGATTGACAATGTGCATAAACGGGAACTTCAGAATGACTCTTAACACGTTAAGCGCCGCGGCAGCCATCGGTGGCTGACACTGGGCTTTCCATTTAGGCCGCGTCAACCACCGGTGGCTGACACTGAAATTACATTTAGCCTGCGTCTGCCACAGCTTGCTGACACTGACCTTTCACATAGGCCGCGAAAAACAGCTAGATGACTGCATACATACCCTCCAACTTATGAGGATTTTGAAAATAATTCTTTCTAGTGGTAGCGAATCAAAGCAGAAATTTTTAAAGCAAATGGATCTCTCATAAAACTTTTATCAGAACTTAAGAATCTAGCCATATGGCCTGCACTTTTATAAGTAATAGTGGACAAGTTACGCTAAAATTAATTTTTTTTTAAATATTAAGACATTAATTTTGCTACTGTCTGAAAAGAAGATTTCTGAAACTACGGAAATTCCGTAGCAGTTGGAGGGTATGCAGCATATAACATGATATAGAACTATAAAATTTAAACTCCTTTATGGAATTGCAGAAAATTTATTCAAAATTTACTTAATTATTGTCATTCATGGTTTAATAAATTCAATTTAGTAGATTTTTATCCACCACTTTTTTTTAAACAATTTGTAGGCATATATAATTCACCACTCTTTTCAGATATGTTATTCTAAACGTTCTATAAACTAGCAATATCTATTTATATTTGCAGATTTAGTTTGTAATTATTTACCGTGTGGCCTTCAACGTGTTGAATCATAAATGCTTTTGACTCTGAAACCTATTACCGTACATGCGTGGGACATCACGTTACAGGAAGGTCTGGGTGAAAATTTTAGTCAGCTTGTTCGCAACTGTGAATGTAAACAGAAATGCTAACAGCTCCGGTTTTCGCTTTTTTTTTTTTAATTTAAAGTAATGGAAAATTTTAACTATCAGAATCTCGCTACAATCTCATCACGTTAGAGTGACCTCAAACTGGAAGATTTAAAAAAAAAAATCTAACTGCAGGCAATAAACTTATCGTTCTTCGCCATGGAAAGTGCCGGAAGTGTATTGCTTCATTTTGCATTGTCTGGTGAGCTCCTTGTGACCAGAGTCACGAAGGCGAGCAACATTACCCTGACCACACTACCACAGATATCCCTTCATAGGATGGGCCACAGTCACATATCGGAGGACAACACACAGAGAGAAACATCCATGCCCTGAGCGGGATTTGAACCGGCAGAATAGCTCTACCACCCTAGTTTCACTTAAATTTTTAGCTATAAATCTGGTCATTTTTTACATCTGCATTTATTTCTCATTTAATCATATCTTGTAATCTTTTTTCGTTGGCTGTCAACAAGCATATTAGGTCTACCGAAAAGTTTTGTCCCCGGAAGTACACGCTTTATTTTACATTTAAACCTTACTTTCTTTTGTTATAAAAAAAGAGCGGTAGGATATCTATCCTTTGGTAGGTAGGATGTTTACTTTAAACCGATGGTAATGTTCTAAGAAAATAAGCATATACAGGTCTGCCAAGTACTACGCCGTTTTACAAAATACTTTATACATTGGTAGACGTTTAGTAACCAAAGCTTTCAGAATTTATGATAATTTTGCCAAAATTTAAAAAGTCTCACCACGATAGAACTTGGATACTGGATATGCATGGAAACTCGGTGCTTGGCGCGAAGCGCCACTAACTGATTCATCTTATTCTTTTGGACATATACTGTAAAGACATAAAATATAAAAACACAGGAAAAAACAGTTTTTAAATGTAATGATAGAACTAGGACGAAATTGCGTTGCACATGAACTTTTAAATCATTTATATGTAGTGGTGTAGAAAATACATTTCAATGAATAAAAATTATACATTAAAACATAAACTTGGATACCACTGGAATAAATTTTTACAAAAAGCGTTGAAAGTTACCTACATGGTGCAAAAATAGCAAGTGCATACAATTTTCAAAACTTGTCCCGAAACTATAAGTCAGACCTCTCCGGTGCGTTTGATATACATTTAAGGGAAAATGCCCTACCCCTTTTTTTAAGAATACACTTTTTTGATTATTGAATAATTGGGCTTGTTATCTCGCAAACAGAATTTTTTGATAGATCTAATATTAAGCATGTTATAGTCAACTGAACATTCTTGTACCTGCAAAATATATTCTAAATTAAAACACTTAAGCTACCACTGTTTTTTTATTTTGTTTTTTGAAAAATAGGATCCATTCATTTAACCTCTTAAATCACGAGTTTTTTCGGCAAAACTAGTAAAAATTATCAATTTTTTTTTGACAAAAAGAATATATATATAGGTATGGTGTGTTATTTTTTTTGCATGCTATTTCCGATGACTTGGTAGCTGGAATTGGTGTAAAAGTTATAGAAACAAATTACTGTACAAACAAAGTTTAAACTATTTGATTAGTTGTTGATTGTGAGTTTCGAAATATTAAAATCAAATTAAGTAAATATGGCAATTAATAATCAATAATTTAAATTAATATATCAAATAGCTTATCATCAAAATGCACGCACCACGTGGTTTACTCAAGAAAAATGCTGCATAGTGATGTCATCTGTGGTAAATAAATTTAATTACAATCTAGCCTGTCAATTTTAAATAGAACGGGTCTCAAACGGGCGTTAGAAATTATATAACGCGAGATATAAAATCGCCCGTGTGAGACATGGGCAAATTTGCCGGTAATTTTACTCCTGTTAGAACGCTAGGTGTGTATTCATCACATGAATTACTATAAATAATTTGTAGCTACCACTCTATTTGAATGATTGCTACTTCATTTATGTTTGAAATATTGGCACAAACTTTCCATTTTCAGATTTTTCTTAATTTTATATAAATATATTTTTTGTTAAAATAGTGGTANTTAATAATCAATAAATTAAATTAATATATCAAATAGCTTATCATCAAAATGCACGCACCACGTGGTTTACTCAAGAAAAATGCTGCATAGTGATGTCATCTGTGGAAAATAAATTTAATTATAATCTAGCCTATCAATTTTAAATAGAACGGGTCTCAAATGGGCATTAGAAACATAAATAGCGTGAGATATTAAATCGCCCGTGTGAGACTCGGGCATATGCAAATTTGCCGGTAACTTTCGCCCGTGTTAGAACGTTCAAGGTGTAGTGCAGAGGAAGCGCTAATCGTATATTCATCCCATAAGTACATTCATCACTGGAATTACTATTCATAATTAGTAGCTATCACTTTATAGGAATAATTGCTACTTTTTTAAAGTTTTGACTTTGATAGATGCCTCCTTCATCCGTAATGATTTTTTTTTTAATTTTTTATTAATATATTTTTTGTTAAAAAAGTGGTAGTTGTTTTATGTTTTTTTTTTAAATTATTTTTAATAATCTTAATATAACTGAACAGAACTTTATAAAATATCTGAGGCTGCTTGCGGCTCTTTTCCCATTCATCTTGAGCTTGATCTGTGTGGTGCTTCGATGAAGTTGTGGAATGCAAATGAAGTAAAGGAGTATTCATGTAAATCATTGAGGTTCATACTATGTAATTATATACAGTAGGGTGATAAGATTATATTGTAAAAGTATGAACTTTTTAGCTTACATATGATGAAAATGAGGTTATGTATATGCTATTGATGACGGGAATATGATGCATCACTGCAATAGTATGCTAATCTATATATAAACAGAAATGCCAACTTCCACCATTTTGTGAAAAAATATTTCCTAGCAATGACGTAATTTTAGTTTTGGTAATATAGTTTAGATATTTTTCATTTTAAGCAATTTTTTCATCTCCATACATCAAAAATTAAAGTATCATATGAAATGTAATTTTATCGCAGTTATTTCGTGGTTAAACTTTTAAAAAGTGGGTATAATTATCCACATTCTACAAGTTTTACAATATAATTCAGTACCAATTTCTTAAAACTTTTTCTGAAAGCGGAGTAGTTGGCATCCTTGTATATATTTCAAAACTAAGAAGAAAAAAAAACTTGAGAAATTAAGCTAAGTGGATATACTGGGATGCCAACTGCTCTGCTTTCTACAAAAGTTATAAAAATTTAGTAACGAATTAAGTAGTAGAACTTGCAGCATAAGAATAATTACGCCCTTTCTTTAACCTACTTCAAGACGGGCGAGTCATACATGCATTCTCAGAGTGGCGACAATCACGTTAAAGAAGATAAAACTGGTAGCCAAACTATTTTTATAGCAGTTTATTTGTGGGCGGGGTAATAATAGTTTTCTTTATTTATATCACCAAGACTTAAAATTATAGATAAGATAAAAATTATATATTTACACTTTTAACAAACGTAGATGGGATGTATTAGATTTAAAGAGAAAGCAAAAATAAGGTTGTCAAATTAGCCATGCCTAAACTTAATAAGTTTGCATCTTTGCATACGCTCTAAAGCGGCGCGATTCTAGTGAGGTATATGAAAGAGTTAGGTTGTGTTGTAACCAAGCTCTAAGCTAGTATGTCGACACATCGAAGCGGCGGCAAACAGACGCACTGCGAGAGAGCGCCCGTCCAGTGGTCATTCTTGAGTTTTACAGTAACGACGAGTGCTACAACTATGCTAAAAATACCGTTACTCGAGACAACAAAAAGGACATTAGACATAAATGTGCTGTAGACTTGCATCTGTATAATAGATGGGCCACGAACGTGGCAAGATAAAGTCAATGTGTTCAATGACATGCTCGAGAAATCGACTAGTATTCGTAATGCCTATATCAAGCTTGATGCAGAAGCTTGAGGATGTTGTAAAAAAAAAGGCAACGCCTGAGATTCCTGACATGAACGTAGTC